ATGAAATACTCTCTGAATTTGCAAGCATGAAAGTGCAGAAAAAATACAGACTATAGGGCCCCCCACACGCTTAGTCCGGCCCTGTAGGTGTCTCTATATATTTCTATGGTTGTGACCTAGCTGAAGGTGGGGCTGTGGCATTACTGTTAGTGCTATATAGTCGGTGGGCATCGTCATTGGTTTGATATTGATGCGTCACATAAAACAAAAAAAGGATTTTGCGAAAATATTTTTAGTGCCAACCAATACAAATGAAAGGAAGGTGATTCTAACTATATATTATATATAGCTTATATATATATATATCCATATGTATGCGCATGTGTGTGTGTGTGCGTGTGTGTGTGCGTGCTCGCCGGCGTATGCGTGTGTGCATGCGTGTATGTGCGTGCTTGCGTAGGCCTATGTATCGGTACCTGAATATGCGTGCATGCAGGAGTGAATCAAAATCATTTGTTTTTTTATTCAATCCCGATACATGTGAAATTTTGTGTGCTAGCGTAGGAGTCACGGAAGTATATATATGACTGTATAGGTGACCATTCAAGTACAGTCCTGAAATAAAGTGGCGGTTATTGTTGTTACGCCCCATGTTTATTGACGTTTGTGGTATATACATATTACACCCCCTGTGATCAGGTGAGTTCTCTGAGTGTAAAAAAATCCAACTAAACTATTAGGGCATTGGGAATCGCTCCCGTGTTTTTTCTCTGTTTCTTTTTCAACATCTTATCCGACTCTCTTGTGCGGGTATTTACCCCCGAATAGATCGCAGCAAAGAGGCATATCTCGCACGCAACACACACAACATGTCGCTATTATCAGATGCCTGAACAAAAAACAATCTTGTTTGTTTCAACTTTGTCACACTCGTTTTACTTCAAAATGTATTTTGATTTTTTTTTACCTCCGGTGATATGAATGTCAAATTACAGTCTCCATATCGAAAGTGAATTGATTAGTCATTCGGTCCTGAGGTACTCATTAGCTCACCTTGACATCGGCAAGCTGAGCTATTGCCATGGGTCGTCGTCCGTCGTACGTCCGTCCGTCCGTCCGTCAACATTAACTCGGTTTCGGTCAACGATAACTCAGGAACCGTTTGACCCACATGTTTGAAATTGGGTATAGTTGTTACTGCTATGCTCCCATATTGAACGTCCTATTTTGGAGCACGCCAGTCGACGTACTTTCGAGCCACGGCAATTTTTTGCCAAAAATGGGAATTGTCATTAGTCAGTTCAGGTTCAACGGATTTTGCTCATTTTTGGTATGTGAATGAATGAGGGCTAGGGGTTTTGATTTAAAAAAAAATTATGCAAATTAGGTAGGGTTTGGCAATTATATAGCATATATATATACACGCAGATATTAAACAGTCTGTGGTGTCACACTCGTTTGGTTCGTTTTACAAGATTTCATTGACAATATCTTTAATGCAAAATTCCTGCTATGAACATATTATGTTTTATACTATTATTATTATATTATTATTATTATTTTATTATGATATAATGATTTTATGCTAAGAACATCAAAAGCGGCGGTATGAGCGCCATCTACCCGTCACAATTGCTGATTCACTTTTTGGTTTATAATTATTTATAATTTATATTAATATTATATTTTCACAGAAAAAATTACACATATAATTATCAAGAGTACTATATGCGGAGGTCGCCCATATATACTCTTCGTTTTCATAATGTACTCGCATGGTGCTTAATTAAAACTTGACTTCATTCTCATCACTCAATTTGTGTTCGCTTTTTTTGTGGTGAGCCTACAGTGTCATTGACACTTTTCTTTTATTGACCCGCCTCGTGGTGTAGATTGATAGATGTGTTCGTTGTGCACAGTGTGTAAGGGCCATACCGGTCAATGTTACACCGTGCCACGTATACACCATAGCGAGGCAACGAAGGCGGGCCAGCTGGGCCCTGTTGGCATGGGCCTACGATTTTGAGAGGGGCCTATCCCCTCAGTGCGTAGCTAGGAATTTGTTCAGCGGGGGGGGCACTGGGCGGCTTACATTTCGTGGGCGGGCACATATATAATTTTATTGAGATGTGGTTTCGAACCTTCTTTTTCTGTTCTATACTTTCTGACGGCATGTTTTTATTCATGTTTTTTTTTATAAGCATAATTTTCAGTTGCAGGGCCACAGAAATTTGGGGGGGGCATCGTGCCTGTAGCCCCCTCCCCCGTAGCTTACGCCCCTGCCTCCCCTTTTGGGCATTAGAGGCCAAAGGGGCTTTGGTACAAGAATGATTTTATTTGTAAGAGAGTCGAGGGGCAGATCCGTTTAGCACAAAAATATTGATTTTTAAGAGAATAATTAACGATTAATAAACCTGTATATACCATACAGAAAAATATATGGATGGCGCTGATTTACATTGAAGCATATGCAGCCGTTTTGAAATCGGCGCTATCATTCCCATCTGCCCTGAGCTCTGCCGTCTGCGGGCCCAGATTTGCATGGACTTTCAGGCCCTTCACTGCGGCTGCACCATTACCTGTGATAATACAGTCGTCATGGTCGCTTGACTGCGTACGTTCGCTTACACTGACTTCTGTGATGTCGTGCCCTAGCGCCGTTTACGGCAGCGAGCGGTAATCGATAACAAGACAGTCGACACGATAACACGACGCAGGGCCGCGCCTGGGGCGAATTTTTTTCCCACTTGGTTCCGGACCAGCAGCCAGTCATGCGACCATTCGCATTTCACTCGACTTCTCCGAAGGCAGCAAAATGTAAAATGAAATACCCCTTATCCGCGTAACCCTAATCGTACCATAACGCCTACCGTACCCGAACCCTACACTAAACTATAATTCACCGTATATATATATGAACCATATTTTAAAACACTATCTATGGTGAGCGTCGGAACGAAGTGGCGAAAAAAAATTTCGCCGGCCCGCGCACTGAAAAAATTAGCAATTTGGCCAGTGCTGTTCGCTGGGAGTGTGCGTCAGCATTCGTTACTCTGCTTCGCTACGAGCGCGCGTGACCAAACGCAATGATTCGTTGTCATGTCGCTCGTGCCCGCTGGCGTGTATTTGCGTGCGGGTTTTTGTGCATGCCTCATAATTGTTGCTGCGGAACCGACGGCATATGCATGTCGCAGAGACGGCCGAACGCGCAGAGCGCCGCTGGACCACGCCAGACACACGCGGATCCACGCTGGGTACCGGTTAATTCGTTTATGTTGTCGTCGGGCTGAGTGTGGTAGCGAAAACACCTGAGCGCCACCTGAGCGCACACTAGCGCCGCGAGCTAGCGTCGTACGAATTTTAGAGCGCATGTCCAGCGGATGCACAGCGAACTATGGGCGTGGGCGAACGGAGTGGCCTGAGACGAGTCTTGTAGCGGCGCCCAGCGCTTCTTTCTAGCGTCTCGCCTTCCTAGCGTGTACGCAGCGTGTAGCCACTGGCGGTATATAACGGGTCCCGCGCCCACCTCCTTATCCACTTCTCCCGACCTCATGGTGGTGGATGACAGAGATTCCTGTTAGATCGTGTTCTAGAAGAACCACAGTAGAAGATGGAGGATTCCCGACAGGGCTTGCCCGACTACAATACGAAACTCGCCGGTTCTCCAACGATCAGCCGTACTATGGACTGGCACTTCACAATGTCCATGCCCGTTCGTCAGAAACAAAAGGGAGTCTTAACATTAGTCTTAACACTGACATGTTCTCGATAGACCGTCCGACGCATGCGCTTTGCTTTCCTATTGTTTATGAGGTAATAGATCTGCCTTGCGATTGTACGCCATTCAGGCACACTTCGCAGCCGTTTCTGTGGACGTTAGGAGAAAAGGTAATGTTCAGACTGATGTTGCAAGCACTAAGGTTTGTTGTCTGCATGCACGGGCCCCATGTCATTATAGAGAATGGCCGAGAAAAAGAAGAGGTAACGGCACCGCGTTCTAGGGTCGACCGTGGTCGTGGCGACGACAGTTTGCCTGTATGAACCAGCCACGTACTTTGTTGCACTCCGTAACGCAAACAGGCTAGCTTCAAAGAACTTCTATGCGGATGCCCCCCGAGGTGTTCGAGACGCTCTGCTAACAGAGTGCACCCGGTCCGAGGATCACACAAGCAGAATAACAACCATACAGAGAGGCCTCGACCCTGGCCTGAAGCTTGCCCTCACCTCTTGCGGCATCTTGCCTTCGGGACCATCAATATCACTCATAATGTCCTATGGTGAGGTGATGCCTCACAGCACCTATATCCCTGTTCATCCGAAGTGTGTCAGGCCATCATCGCGTGCGTTGGCTGTGCGTCTGGCTGGCTGCGTTGAATGCGGCTGGTGCTCGGCGCGGACCATTCTTCCGTGCGCGCGCTAGCAACTTCAACACGTACGTGTGCATTCGTTTTGCGATTTTTTCTATCACATTGTGCGCCCCCTGCTATACGCTCTGTCATGGCCGCCCTGTATACGCGCGCGCAGCTAGCAACACGCTGCTGCATTCGTTGGTCAACATCGCTAGCTTCTCCACAAATCTGGAAAAGTCGGGCGCACAACGACGAACTGATCTATTTCCATTTTTTGATTATTTTCAGTGCGCGGAGCGTGCGTCGTGTATGGTGTGACTGGGGCATAACGTTCCTGCCACCATAGGCATAGATATAGTTACGCTCCGATCTCAGTCTATAGCCCGCGTACATTGACTGCCACAGCCGAGGTTTTATAACGTAAGGGATATTTTGGGCGGGGAGTCGAGTTCCAACCAGTCAGCTTTATTCATAAATGAACCGGTTAGGCTATATTGACCATTTAAGCTCAATTAAGCCAGTCGCGTACCAAATTTTAGGGCTGTTTTCTAACATATTATGGCATGTTAGGTATGCTTTCTGCGTTTTTTGTGGTATGCCCGATCGAATTCTTGGCTTGGTGTTATTTAAACAGGTCCGTGAGGCCAGGGGGTTGTCGGGGCGTTTCGAACGAACCACCCCCCGAAGCCGCCGCTACCAGTCCCCCCCCCCACCCCCAATAAAAAATAATATTCTTGAAAATTTTGCAAGAATCATTTCACCTCAGGTCGACTCCATTTTAGCTGTAAGTATTGCCAAAATCTCCATCGTGGCGGGAGGGTGAACAGTGACACACCCCCCTCCACTCAGCCTCCCCCGTCGGTCGTCTGCCTTGGCTCTCTCGCCTAGGTCGCTTTCGCGCCCGAGCAGGGCGCTGTACAGGGGGCGTCCAGGGAGTCCGCGACCCCCCGTTGCTGCGAGACAGAAAACGCATCTGAGGGGTCTAATTTTAAAAATTTCGGGGAGTGCCCCAGACCCCCCTTCGCTTGGGCTCGCCCTTTGGCGTTACGGTTAGACCCCCTGCCGTACAATCCTGTACACGCCCTGCGAGCACATGCCAACATTGAAAACGACCCCCCCCAATAGAAAGCTGGCTACGGGCCTGATTTAAACACCCAGATGTATGATTCATCCCTAAAAAGTGTTATAGATCGATCATTAATAACCATACGCGTTACTGTTTAAATTTAAACAAGTATTGATTATCAAGCTTTACGAACTCGACAACCCGAAGATACTCGATAAAGAATCATACACATAGGATTTGATTGAATACAAACAATAGAATATTATTTGTCCTTTAACCGAACTATTGTATCACAATCGTCCAGGAAGAGTAACAAGTCTAATGCACTGTACAAAAAATTAACTTACAGCATGTCCCCAAATCAACCGAAGCTATCAAAATAGTCCTATATATCATAACTTATAGTACAATAATTAGTACAATATTATAACTTATAGTACAACAAGTTTAGTCGATAAATTGGAAAAGTCAATCTTCTGCCCGGAGACATCTTCTTTGGCGTCCCCTACCGATCCTTGATCTTCCTCATCATCTCCGGTTTCCTGGTTACCGGTTACACTTGCAGTCTGGTTCTCACAGTTGTCACAGCCACAGAAATCAGTACACTGGAGGTCAAGCTGCTTGCAGCCACATCGCTTTGAAGAGCAATTAGTTTTACACCGGCCCACAGCAAATGGATCTGAGCAAATTGGGAGGTGCCATAGCCCGACCAGGCTGTGCGACGGATTGTCTATAAATTCCGGTATTCTAACCCTAGGGTATTCTAACCCTAGCAATACCGTTTCTTGGAGCTAGGAGATGCCACTGCCTTGTCTGTGTAGAGGGGTCCATACTTGCCATTGGAGTTTAGAACCCACCCATATTCTAAGGGGTCAAGAGCCACATCTGTACCTGATGGTACACTCTGAGACAGTGGTACTTCGCAGCTGAGGAGGTGGGAGCCGTCTGTAGTCAACTTTTCTCTGTACAGCTCCTTTCTTCTTTCTTCGTGTGCAGAGCATTTAGGAAGAGCTTGTGGCGCAACTTGTCTAGTGACAGCAAGGTGGGATCTGTTGACTAATTGGTGTACATCTGGATAATGATCTCACTCCCTGCTTTAACAATCCGGTCTGTTGACTCCTTCCTAAAGTAGAATTTGGCTGTGCTCACTGTCATCTTCTCCAGGATTTATATGCTCATGCAGCCTCTGGTAGAGATCATTGATTATACCAGTGGGGTGATTATACCACGTAGATTGAGAGCCGGATCGAGCGAGATCGAGCGCCATCTGTCGTGGAGTTTGCCTCTACCCTAATTCTCTCCCTCTCTTTGCTCGCAGCTAGATGCACAAATTCCCGGGATGCGGCAGCAGAGTAGCAGCGAGAACAGTAATAAAAAACTAGTAATCCCGCCCCCGTATTAGGCAGGGGCGTGTACAGGGGGGGCGGGGGTCCAGGGGGTCCGGACCCCCCCCCTTGGCCCTTGCTCGCGCAGAAAACGCATCTGAGGGGGTCTAATTTCAAAAAATTTCGGGGGGAGGGCCCCCCAGACCCCCCTTCACGTGCTCGCAAGTTTGGGTTCCGGTTAGACCCCCCTGGCCCTGGTACAAATCCTGTACACGCCCCTGTCAGACCTGTCAGGTGTTCCCACGATCGAGCTCAGAGCTGAACTTCGTTTGAACTCGCCGGTGGACGGCTGAGTTCGCCGCTGAGAATTTTCCTTATCTCGGTATGCTGATAATGACCTTCATACGTCCGCAGATGAGTTAATTTAGACTCTAGACTCTAGAGTCTAGACCAGAATCTAGACTCTAGACTCTAGTCTAGAGTCTAGAGTCTAGCTAGACCAGAGTCTAGAGTCTAGAGTGTCTCGAGTTTCTTTCCAGTACTGCTGCCGGCGTCAATCAAAGTCACGTGTCCGTATATCTAGGGATGCTCCGCTCGCGGCGCCCAGTGAAGTCCACGCCCTTTTGTACGTGTAGCCGACGTTTTGTAGAGTGTGAGTGTGGGAGTGAGTCTTGCACCTCGTGAGAAATAGATAGCTGTCCGTCGTGGAAAGAAAGGGAGCCTGTGTCAAAACCAATCTACGGGCTAATTAGGTATGCATAATCAGGATTTATTTTTGTTAGGCGTTGGGTAGGAGAACTGACAGTGCCAACTCAGCTGTTAGTGTTACGCCTACGGTCAGACTAGGGATAGTACTACGCAGTACGCTTGCGGCAGTCACTGTACGCGGGCTATAGTACTAGAGCTACGGTCAGACATAACCCAACCAGGCTGTACTGGGCAAACTGTACACGGTCTATAGTACTAGAGCCAGGTCAGACAGTACGTGAATCTCAATTAGATACAAGATGCAAGAATCAGATATCACAAACAATATTACGTTAGCCTTAGCTAGCTGATGGGCTATTATTCCGACAAACATAAGTGAATAACAATTCTGGTTAAGAACAAATATAAAAATGTATAAATTTCAGCGGTACCGTATATATAGATTTTAGACTTGAATCAAAAAACAGTTGCACATATTATTATTAATACGAAATGCTGTGAGAACCTAAAAACAATTTTAAGAGTAAAGTACGTACAGCAGGTTCCAGGGGCGGATCCAGGGCTGAAGCTAGACAGTATTTTTCCAGATTTTAAGGGCCAATCCTCCAAAAAGGCCACACCACCCCACAGTGGGCGCCAGGGGCGGATCCAGAGGGTTTGGGTGAACAGTTTCCATACTAGTACTAGTCACAGCTAGGGGGGTCCGGGAATTTTTACAAAATTAGGCTATATTTGGTGCATTCTGGTGAATTTTGAGGGTCAATTTTGAAGATACCCAGCCTGTGACCGGTTTCTGGAAACCAGTACAACCCGGCCTAAATCCGCGCCTGGGCGCCGTTAGGCGCGGAAGCACATGGTGGGGGGTGTGAAGGGCCTCCCCCAATAATTTCAGACGTCCTTTTGTGCCCTAATACTATGTCTCAGACTTATTTTATTACCGTTGTACTTTTATCACTACTAGTATTACTATCAAATAACATAGTTTTGTTGTATGTTTCCTGAAATCAAGAATCAGGAAGCTAGAATACTGTACAGTAGAACAATGTCAATGGTGACGCTCGTGTGCGAAATGCGAGTGTACACCCATACCAGCGACAACAACAACGCCAACAGCAGCGACAACAACAACAAAAACAATAACAACAATAGCGACTACAATGACAACAACACCACCACCACCACCAACAACAACAGCAAAAACAACAACAACTGCGACAACAACAACTGCGACAACAACAACTGCGACAACAACGACAAGTCGTCTATAAGAATATGCCATCTTAAGTCGATCTCACCAACAGAAAAATTGTAATTTCTCGCTTGATACATTAGTTGAATATATTCAATATTTAATTAAATATAATATAAAATAATTAACATTGAATACTATTTCTCGCCGTAACAGGTAACCACCCCCCAACAACCGTCGACCATGGACGAGAACTTCATGAACTACAGCGTGATCTTCGACATCGAGCGCGGATTCGACTTCGCCGAGGCGAAGGACTGGACGCGCGAGCGCCTCCCGCTCACCGTCTACTCTTCCCTCGTCTACGTCGTCGCCATCTTTGCCATCCAGTCGTACATGAAGTCTCGGCCGCCGTTCGGGCTTCGCGCTCCGCTTGCCACCTGGAACTTCCTCCTCGCAGCGTTCAGCTTCTGTGGGGTCCTGAGAACCGTTCCCGAACTCGTGCACTCGATCTCGACGTACGGCTACCCCTACACGGTGTGCAACGACGCCGTCCGGCACGGCATCACCGGCTTCTGGACGTTCCTGTTCGTCGTCTCGAAGCTGGTGGAGCTCGGCGACACGCTGTTCATCGTACTGCGCCGCGGGCGCCTCATCTTCCTGCACTGGTACCACCACATCACCGTTCTGATGTACGCGTTCTACTGCTACGCGGACGGCAATGCCGCCGCGCGCTGGTTCGTCTGCTGCAACTTCACGGTGCATACGATCATGTACACGTACTACGGCCTCGTCGCGATTCGCATACGACCGCCGAGGTAAGAGTGCGAGCGCGTCGCGGCGTCGCCAGGATGCGCGCGAGAGGGGTGTCTATGCGGGGGATCTCCTAGGGAAATCGAGAAGGCGTGTGGTTTACGGACCGCCGAGGTAAGCGGGCGAGAGAGGTGTCTATGCGGGGGGTGCTTCTAGGAAATCACTACACTAAGTGGCGAATACAAATGACGAATGGTTTAAGTGCTCACAAAATTACGTTTGAATAATGAAATCGTTAAATCGTAGTGTCGTGTCGTAAATTGTTTTCGCAGACCTATTATCCCATACCAATCACAGGCACTTGGGACAGAGTCAGTAAAAACTGAAAATAATATGAAAGCACATTCACAAATACTACCGTACCTCACAATTACAGTTCCACTGTTGTGTCACTGTATATCAACTTTCCTTCATAAAAACTAACGCCGAACGCTCCCGCACTTGCCGCTGCGAGTGTGCTGTGTCGCCATTATAATGATAATAATATATAAAGTGATATTATGTTATTATCATTATATTATTATCTTATACCTCCCTATATTTTGGGAGTACAGAAAAAATATTTGAGAGTGCAATTTTGTTTACGCAAACAAATGTACACGGCTTTAGATCAATATTTTAGGCCGTGCTACACATTTTTGGCCGTGCAGTTTCAAAACTGACCGTGCAAATCACGGATGCACGGCTCGCTGGCTGATACGTTGCGCGAGGGGTGTCTATACGGAGGTTATCCTCGGGAATTCGATATGGCGTGTGGTTTACGGACGGATAGATGAGGGCCCAGGGAGGGGTTTGAACCGATCGCAGATGATTACGCGTGTCGTGAGCGGCCTTTATACGCAGGTAAACTCAATCGGTTCGGAGACGTATACGCCGAGCTTTGTAAACGCAGCATGACTGTTGTGATTGTCGAAAGTAAATTAACACGGCTGGAAATTAACGCATGTCGATTAGGCAATTAAGGCATGTAGGAAGATTTGTGGGGTTGTGGTACATGGGTACATGGTACAACATGGGTAACTCACGATACCAATTATACGATCTGTATCTGGATACATTTTTACAATAGGATACATGTACATATCACGATATTTCAACTAGCTAGCAAAACTATATGCATAACCGGTACTCTATCAGTTATGTAAATATGCTTACAAATCAGTATCACGCGCGCATACTTTGCGCTGAGTATGCAATTTCTATTGAACTGCGAATTGTGTCATTCTGCTTTGGTTTTATGATGAAACTACTACCACTTGATATGAATTTTATGCAGTACCGATATGGGTACTATGAACAGTCAAACGTAGTACCTATAAAATTTAATATGTGTGTCTTCAAGGTTTGTATCACGATACATCGATATATCGATATATCGATCGACCCATCAGATTCACAGACACCTCATCTCTGCATGCAAAGTCGGGAACTCCCAGAAGAAAGTTTTAAAAAGAGACGTGGAGATGTGGGCAGTTTTTGTGTGTTTTACAGCTGTGTGCTAGTTTTTTTTGCTAGACTTTCCATCTCATGCAAAAAAATTCGAGCAGCACCACATCTCATTAGGATCCTCCGTGTGCTTCCATGCTTTTTTAGACCATGCAGTAATCCCTCGCCTATCACGGGGGTTGACCGAGGAGACACTGTGTCCCAGAACTCATATCTATGCTGTTGCTGGGGTTACAAATACCTCGGAAGGACGTGCCCTTCTCGCAATGTGACACGGTTTTAGGGCTTGGCGTTCGTAACGAGTAACGATGCTTCATGTGAATTACTGCCACACTTCATATGGCCTGTTATACGAACGAGTTCTAGGGCCACTTGCACCGCCTTGATCTCGCCACACACTTCATATCGCCTGAGTGCCTCTCTCTCTATTCATGTCCGTGAATCATACGTTTACCCTTACCCCGTGCATATTCACCAGTCGGCACTCATATCTCTGTGATTTGTTTAATTACTTATCAGTTAAATGCAGAAATTTGTACTGCCCTGGTACTGTTGTATTGACTATCATTGACATTGACAGTCATATCACTAGTTTGATGCATAACCGACATTATATAATTAAATAAATTTTAACACAGAGTAAGTTTGGAAACAGTACACGTAAGCGTTTTCACTGCATGATTACGTGCATTTACTACGTATTTTTTTACTACGAACCATTACTACTTAGGCCAAACAAAAAAATAGGTGTGTTTCCTATTGCATCGAAAACAAAAGTAGGGTAGGTGGTAGGGATTTTTTTTATTTTTTTTATTCTTTGGTTCCTAATATCCCTCTGATGCATGCTATAAAGTGGTGTATAGGTAGGGATAAGTTAGTAAGCAAGTCCAGAACGTGTTTGTAGTAAAAAATCTCTAGTAAAAAGTTTTGTCTGTCAGATTTCAAATGAAAAAAAAATTTAAAATTACGACTAATAATCTAGGGACGGTCGGTCGACCAGAAACACACCCATTTTTTTGTTTGGCCTTATGTAGCGGATTACGTATTTTGTACTTATTTCTGCGTACGTACGGGACGTACGTGTTACGACGTACGTGATTACAATGACGCGCGCCGCAATAATGTAAGAGTGGAGTTTCTCTCTAACGTTTGCCGACGCGTTTCTTTTCCGTTCGCAGGTGGGTGAGCATGGTAATCACGTCGATGCAGCTGTTGCAGTTTTTCGTCTGTTTCGGCGCGTCCCTATATCAGTACCACCTCATCAAAAAGGGCGTCCCGTGCACCGGCACGCACAAGAGTCTCTACACGTCGTTCGTATTGCTCGTCACTTACATCGTCTTCTTCGGAAACTTCTTCTATCAACGCTACTGCCGGGAGCCGTCGCTCAAGGCCAGGAAGCTGCAGTAACCCATGCAACGGGATGATTCGGAAGCACGGCGTCAGGGAAAGGTTGTCACCGACAGAGGGAAAGGTCGTCGCCGGCGAAGGGATGGCATAGTCCTTTCCTTCCCCAACACCCCGTAGTCCAATTTAGCGAGATAATCCATTTCTGCCTCTTGGTCAGAACCGGTTCCCTGACTTTGATAGGTAACTGATGTACTCTGGTAACTAGACAGCTGGATCAATAGCTGATAATACCTATTGATAAAGTAAGGTGTTATTAGCTGTTGTCTGGTTGTATGCGAAATTTTAAGTGAGTGTAAAGTCATTGCGACAACGAAATTCACGGAGAGGCACTGTCATTTTCAATGCGTGTACGTGCCATGTTGGAGTGATGAGATGTTCGTATAAACCTTTTTAAAGGGATACTAGACTCTAGGATTTTACTGCATACAACTCTACTTACTGTATAACAAATCGTCTATACCCCCACGTATTTGTTACCAGATACCTAATTTAATTGTTATAATTAATTATACATCAACGCTACTAAATTTGAACGGCGCCATTGACACCCGCGACCGTGCTGCCACCCTGAAAAAGTTATAAATTTAAAAATTAAAAAAGAAAAATTTATTTTGCACGTTACAGACCGATGGCTAATCACAAAGGTGCAATTATATTTATACCTAAATGCTATTTAACCGAACGATGTTCATTTTAGGACAAATTTATCCATAATATAACTGAAACTATATGTCGTTTATAAGATATTACAATCCTTTTGCTTTTAAATTAATAAATAAGAAACACCCTCGGTCTGTAGCCCTTGGGTGAAAAGTCGTTTTGCACAACTTATCAGATCGTGCGCTTTGAGTGGCGCCACCGTCGTTGTAATCAAACTGTAGTCGTTAGTTTTAAAACATAAAAAAAATGGTGAGTGAACCATGAAACTTTTTATGTTGCGTAATTTTAACCTAAATTAACTGAAAATAACCCTAGAACCTAGAGTAAACGATCCCTTTAAGCGTCTGGCAATGCACGATTACGATTCTACTGTGCCTGCTATATATATATATTTTTTCCTGGTTATGGTCGTGATGTGAAAATCGTGATGTGAAGGTCAAATATGAGAATTATTTGGATATATCGGCCTGATTGTGTTCAACTATTCCAACGTAACGGGTGATCAAACGTGGTATCATCGTTTGTTTACCTATTATCAGCTAATATTGCGAGTGATGATAATATTTTGCTGAGAAGTTTGTTAACGACTTGTACTTTGTTGGTAACACGTGAGCATGACGTGACGTTTTCTGTTGCCTTCCCTATGCCAGCAAGCATTGCTTACGTTACACGTAGCATAACATAACTTACTCAACAGAAGTTTGTTTTAGTGATTACCATTGGGTGTGAATCCAGGGTCCGTTATTTTTATTCGAAGCGTGCTACAAGAATGATTATGTAATAATATTTACTGGTTGCATTATCTAAACTTGCTTGAACCTTTTTCTCAATCTCCCATCTCCCACCCTCTCTCTCTCCTTCTCCCTCTCCTGGGTCCGCTTTCTTTTCCTCACTCTCTCTCTCTCTCTATCTCTCTCGCTCTCTCTCTCTCTCTCTCTCTCTCTCTCTCTCTCTCTCTCTCTCTC